TTATGATATCAGAATGATCCAGGTATCAAAATGTAGCTTTTAAAGACAAGAATCTGAAAATGTAATTAGATCATTTTGACTGAATTTGATTTAATCCTCATTTCGATATGATGRCTCACATTTATGTTCATTTAATAACAAACTCTTCAAATGAAAGACCCTTAAGATGATGACTAAATGTAATTCTTTGCATATCTTTGTTTAATTAACCCCCCTGGCTGTTTTATTCGTGTAAGTGCTGTTTTTTATGCTTCATTCATTCGTTTGTTGTATTTTTATCATTTGCTCAAATAAAGATTTTAAAAAGCTTGACCCAAGAGAAGCAGGAGGTTTAGAGATCATTTTTACTTCATCTGACTTCAGTAAATCTCTACATGAACCTAAAGGATCAAGAAGTCAAGTTTGGTTCTACAGGGTCCATTTATTTAAAGGTCCTGTCACACTAGACCAGAGGATCTCAAACTGGGGTCCCCGGACCCTCTGGGGTCCTCAAACAGTTCAAGAAATTATTCTTTTGACTTTTATTTTAAAAACCATGCACATGAGGAACAATACACCAGTAAAACAAACACACTAAACCTAACAAATATAATATTCCCACCATGGTTTTTAAGAGGTAAAATGAGTAAATGTGTTAAAACAGCAGGGGCTTTATAAGGGGGGGTCCCTGAAAATCTGTCACCCTTGTAAAGGGTCCTCAGACCCAAAACGTTTGAGAACCCCTGCTGTAGAAATATTATGAAACTTTTTATGTCTAAAATGCTAATAAAGTTATATATTTGAACAATTTGTTAGAATTACAGTATGTACACGTCTAAAAGAAGCTTCCTGTTGATTTTTTTACAAGTTGGCATAAAGTGTCAGTTTTTATTAAAGTGATTCCTGTTAAAACGTAATAATCAAAACATAAACCGCTACAAGACATTAAACACATAATTATTAAACACATAATTATTAAACACATGATTACTAACCTGATGTTTTAAATGAATAAGCTGAACAGAGTTAAATAAGTCCGTGTAACAGAAGCTAATGTTTAAGCTAACCTGTTTAGGTCGGTTCTTGTTCTTCTGGGCCTCCAGGACTTTCTTCTTGAACTCGGCCTCCTGTGTCGGGTTTAAAGCGAGCAGCTCTTTAGCCCGCTTCGATTCTGCTTTGCCTTCAGTCATTTTACTCAACTTAAAACATGAAAAGTTAAAGGAAGAGAAAAAGCTTCACGAACCAGCTCTTCACGCAGCACGTTGGTCCGAGTGCACGTGAAAAGAACCGGAAACACGGTGGAACAGAAGCGCTGTCTGC